TATTTGCCATGGCTGATTCTGCTACATCTCAGTGTTAGTCAGTGCATGTTTCTCAAGTACCATTGATCATATGGCTCCATCAACCCCTTCTCTTCAGGGGAAGAAGGGGAGTGAAGAGAAGTTGTCTCTGCTATTGCTGGTGCCAATGCCTTGTATTGCTGTTGATGATGCCTGTTATGTCTCTGCCTTGTTGCTCTTGTTGGTGCCAATATTGTTGCTCATGCTGGTGTGTTTCCATTGTGGTCATGCCCGTTGACCTTGCCTTTGCTCTTGACTTTCTTTGCCTTGCCTTACCCTATTTGTTAGGGTTTTGTTGCCATGCCCGTTGACCTCTTGCCTTTGTCGTGCCTTACCTTATTTTTAGGGTTTTGTTGCCCTATATGGGCTTTCTTTGCCATGCCTTGCCTCCTTGCCTTACCTTGCCTTTGCTTGGCCTTTATTTGCCTTACCCTATTTTTAGGGTTTGGTTGCCTTTGCTTTTGCCGTATTCACAGGGCTTCTGTGTTCTGCCTTATCTATTGTCGTGCTCATAGGCTTATATGTTCTACCTTATTTGCTGTTGTGCTCACAGGGTTTCTGTGTTCTGCTATGTGCTCTATTTTTTAGGGTTTGCTCTTGTGTTTCCGCTGCGAACTTTGCTTTAGTTTGTCACTTGTTTCACCCGTGGTTGACGAAAAGACCTTCTCTACAATTGGTGCTAGTATGGTGTTCTGTGACTCGCTTGTCAAGTTGGGCGTGCGAAATATCTTTGCCCAACTTGAGGGGGAGTGTTGACGAGTCCTTACTTAGTTAGGATTTTGGTTCCTTATTTCATTAGAATTTTGGTTACTTACCAATTATTATTTAGTCCTATTGTAATAGAGATTTACTTCCTATTGTAATTTATATATATTTCCTATTTTATTTAGGGTTAACACATCTTTGTACGTGTATAAATACCTCCATATTGGAGAAGAATAATAATATGAGCATATATGAGCATATTTGAATATTTGCCTTACTTTGTTTGACAGTAGGTCCATCTCGACTTCTGCCACAGTGGCGAGCTCTGCCGCCAGGGTGGCCTGGGACTTTTTTCCCATGAAAAGCAACCATGCTCTAGATACCAAATGGTAGGTTCGTGAATGTAGAAAAGGAAATACAGATAAGGAAATTAAAGGAACAACATATTTCATTCATAATCCCCTCTCTGTACCAGCTATTAGGTACTTTATACATGATTCTGGATGTTGCCACATGGCAAGCATACCGAGAGAAAATGATAACCATTTCCTAGCTATTGCAATGAAAATAGAAGGGTGATATGGATAGTGCAGGTGATGTAGTGTGGGTAACGGTCCTATCACTCTCTAATACAAGGAAAGGGAATAGAAAGCAAACAAAACAGTAAACAAAAAAGGATCACAACAGATAGATCTTATAAGAACAGGTACTATTACCACCTTGGATCACTTCTGGATCGATTAGAAGGCTTGGAATCTGGGCAACAGTTCAATTCTCCCAAACTGACTGATTCAATCCAATCCAATTTTAATTGAAATACTAGTAATGAACCGACGTACACCCCTAGGTCAATGGGTATGAGTTTGTAATGACCCATGGTTTGGGAGGTTTGTAGTTCTGGAAAAAAAAATTGTGAAATGGCGGAAGTTAATACAGCCCGAAACGACCCTGAACAGACTGTCGTTTAATCCTTCAATACTGTGCTATAAGCCTATAACTTAGTTCTATCCCAAAACCTCACCTCACGCCTGGTAATGGTATCTCATCAACTTGGACGACTCGTGCCCACCACCTCGTGATTGCATTCATTTCTACAATAAATTAAATTTCTCTCCAGATTTTCTTCTTCTTTTTTTTCCTTTTTATGTGCATTCCATGCACTGTTTCTCCAAAGAAAAAAAAGGCGCTTGCTCTTGAAGACCCAGTTGAGCCAGTGCTTTCCTTTGGCAGAGAGACTAGTCTTTTTCAACTCTTTAAGCTCTGTTCTGATCTGGGTTTTTGCTAAAATGGAGGTGGGTCTTGTTGGGTTGCTCAGAACAGCTTGGATTGCAGCGATACTGCCTATACTCATAGCTTCTGTACCTTCTTCTAGGCTGAGCTCATTTCATGGAGCTGTTTTGGAATTTACCAAGAGAGGGAAGATCATGAAATCTTCTTCTCAGGTTAGTGATTGATTGATTGTGATTGTCTTTTTAGGTTTATGGTCTATTTGGTTGGGGAGAAAGTGGAAGAAAATAAAAAAGTTTAAAGGTTTAAATTTTAAATTGTGATGAGTTTTGGAGGATGTAAACTCTTAACTAAGTGAATTTTTGTACCGGGCTGAGTAGAAGTGAGGAGGCTTTCCCACGTTTACTTTTCATTTCCAACATTTTCTCCATAACAAACAGAGATTTTCTGATTTTGGAATATTTCCTTGGTTGATAGCATGACCTAAGAGTTTGAATGATTCATATTCTTGCCTATATAGTTTTCAAAAAATTGCAGCAATGGAATCTTCTCTATTTAGTTTTGTTCTTTAGTTCCTTGCATGATCAATTTTCTCATTTTCAAACTTCAGAAATTTTCCTGTTCTTGTATTGTAGAAGTTCACAGTTCCTCAAAAGTTCTTCTGCCATTTCTATCTGGTGGCTGTAGTGTGGACAACCCTACTCCTTGTTACAACTTGGATGTATGCGTATAAAACAGTGCCATTGGTTTATCCTACATTCGCCGGCCACTTGACTGGAGGTTCACACATCTTTTCATGGCACAAGTCTCATTCGATTCCTATAAGTTATAGATATGGCGTTTGGCGTTCTGTCTTTCTGCTTTTATTGATGGAAGTTCAAGTCTTGAGGCGCCTCTTTGAGACAATATATGTATTCAACTATAGCTCCTCTGCTCGGATGCACATTTTCGGATATCTGACTGGACTCTTGTAAGTTATTTCAGAAACCCTTGTCCATTCAGTTTTTTGCTATGATAGTTTGAATTAACTAAAGATACTGGCTTTGTGCAATACATATATTGATTTGCAGCGTGCATCTTTTCAACTGCTTTCAATATGTCATTAATTTACGGCATCTTTAATGGTACAGTTGTTAATACAAGTTGAGATACCACTTCCAAATTATTCCTGTTCATTGTAAAAACCAAATCTCAAATGATAAAGCGTAAGAAAGCTGGCTGAAATTCATATTTTCTATAACTGCTACTGCAGTTTTCCATAGGTTAAGCCTGGTTAAAACATCTCCGACTTTTTTCTTTCTTGCAAGATGTACTCTCTTCTAGATAATAGATATTGTTTTAATAATTGTAAAATTTAGGAGTCATATATTTATGGGAACTCATAACTGACTAACCTTTTTGTTCTGGAATGAGAAATGTTTTGCAGATGTCAATTTCCCATGTTCTTTCACATTTACTGTATACATGATAGATGTTCTACTGATTTATGTTATTTTCTGAGGTTAGCTTCTACACAGCAGCACCATTGTCACTTTGCTGCAATAATGCTCTGGAGGTGTACAAATTTTCATTGAATGCAGTGGCTGAGTTCATTGTCAAAGGCAAGACTACTGTGCAACACATGGAATTTGATTGGTTGGAATTTGTGAGTTCTCTTTTGAGGCTTCGTTGGCTCCAATGGACTGGTGCGGTTATATTCTTTTGGGGCTGGATCCATCAGCGCAATTGCCATGCAATTCTTGTATGTTTCATCACACACACATACTCTCTCTTCTGCAGTTCGAATAAACATATATTCTATGCCCTAAGAAATCATACTAAGTTGTTTAAATTTGAAGAAATATAAAAAACAAAATGGAATAACCTGACATCCACGAGGTGCTGCAGAAATATACACTGAACTGAATCATTTCATACAGCTGATTAGAGGAATTTAAATCTGTGGTTTCTTATTTCAATCCTCCTTGCATTCACTTTTATGCTGTCCACTGACATACGAATATATTTAACAGGGCTCATTACGAGAACACAGTGGACAAAATGATGAATATGTGATTCCTCATGGTGATTGGTTTGAAGTTGTTTCATCTCCACACTATCTGGCTGAGATAGTAAGTCTCATGCTTCCCTTAACTGCCTGCCTAAGGAGTATTCTTTTTTCATGATTAACTTGGATTTTCTTCCTGAGTCTTGATTTATATGGTTAATTGCTTTTCTGGTGATGATGAAGGTTATATATGCTGGCCTTGTGGTTGCTAGTGGAGGAACAGACCCTACAATCTGGTTACTTTTTGGATTTGTGGTATGATTTTTTTTTGTGCTGAAAATATAATGTACATAAACATGCATACAGAAGAGTGCTCACACACACACACAAGAGAACAAGAGTCCACACACGCACAAGAGACCGATGTCTTCTATAGTGACTTTACTCTTTCATTGGGGTATCTTTCAGGTGTCAAACTTGGTATTTGCATCCGCGGAAACACATAGGTGGTACCTCAAGAAGTTCAAGAATTATCCCAGTAATCGGCTTGCCATTATTCCATTTGTATACTAAGTGCAAACATATATTAGCTTGTGCAAAGGTAAGTGATCGTAAAGCTTTTTTATACACACTTGAACAATCACTATGGTAGCTTCTTTTCTGCCCACAGCAAGCCGATGGAAAGATTGAAAACTTTGATGCCCTTCCCAAACTCTTTTTTCTTGTTTAACAGAAAGAAGGGTTGGATAGGAGAGCCTCTGACAAGTCTCCAATGTACAACTCTGCTGATCTTGACATACAAGCAAGTACATTGTAACTTGATACTCTGTACAATTTCATCCAAAGAAGCATGTAGCAACAAATAGGTATGCAATCTGTAATTGGTACACCAAACTATACATATGATTACTTTAATGATCATTCTATTAAATATTAATACCAAACAAATACAACAGCCTTCATTTTATTTAGACTTTTCTTTGCAAGGCCTAATGCAAAGATGTACAAAATTATGGAGTTTTCGAACTAACTGATACAATGAGCATTGTTGGAGGACATAAAGCTCAGTTTATTGCAAGTGAAAATTCATGAGGGTTTCTGTTTTGCTTCCCTTTTTGTTACCCTTTGAAGAACATGTGGAAGCAGTGATTCGGAGGGTTTCGAATTACGCAGTTTATGCATAAACATCTACTCCCCAAGATAAGGAAGGTAGAGTGGTCCTGAATTTCTTGTCTATGGTATTGATCAGCTCTATGTCCTCTTTCTCCAGCTTGAAGTTAAGAACTTCCAAATTCTCTTTCAACCTCTCAACTTTTGAGGACTTTGGAATCACTGGTGTGTCCCTCTCAAGGTTCCACCTCAGAGCAATCTGGGCCACACTCTTTTGGTACTTTTTAGCCAGAGCCTGAAAAAGTAAGAGAAATAGGTGAACAAATATTTTATGAATGCCTAATGTTCTCGTGCCAGAATGAGAATCTGGATCGCACATATCACATGTTCTTCCGATTGCATGATCGGTCGTTCGTATCAGTAGAAAGAGTATACTTACAAGGAGAATTGGATCTTCCAGAGGTGAAATGGAACCAAATGCTTTGACATTAGCTGTAGCACCCCCCAGAGGGGTGTGGGCCATAGGTATAACTCCATGTTTCTTACAGAATCTGACGAGAGATTCACGCTGGAAATAAGGGTGAGTTTCAAATTGGCTCACTTGAGGCTTGATTTTGGCGTAAGATAAGCAATCTCTGGTCAGAAAGAGCTCGTAGTTGCTGCATATAATATCATCATTTTTCTGTTAGGACACAAGACCAATTGAAAAAAAAAAATTCCCCACCAAGACAAAAAAACATTAACATAAAGGAGCCGATGATCATTTGATTCAGTGACATTTACCTGAGACCAATGCTACGAACTAGGCCGAGGTCGACGGTCTTTTCCATGTCGTGCCATGTCGTTTCCAGGGAGACTGTTACGTCTATGTCCAACACCTTATTTTCGTCCAAAAGACTAGCAGTTGCACCAACTCCTGTGAGCACACAAGCAATGGATCAAATACCATTTCGTTGCAATCTAGATGAAACATACCATCTATCGGTTTTAGACACATGTCATGCTTTAATTGGATTATCCTAACACAATCACGAAAGAAAACGAGAGAGAGAGAGAGGTACCGTTATGCTTGGTGGCTAATGGGTAGTGAACAAGGTAGAGATCCAGATAATCTAACTGAAGCTTCTTCAGGCTATTTTTGCAGGCCTCAACCACATGCCCATGGTCTGAATTCCAAACCTGCAATTATATACACATGAACATAACAAATTATATGAGATAAGGTCTAATAATAATACTACTCTTAAAATTAAGCAACTTCATTAGATTGGCAATTAGACTACTGGCCTTGGAGGTGATGAAAAGTTCCTCCCTCTTGACAAGCCCACTCTGAATTGCTTCTGCAATTGCGTTCCCAACGTCTACCTCAGTCTTGTAATGAGCTGCAGCATATATATTCAGAATTTCATAAATAAAAGTGACAATATATTTAAATTATAGAACAAAATTTATATTAGTTTTTAGGGTCACCAGGATTGTAGTTTTGCCGCCTTCTTTTTTTGTCGGGATTTTCCTATATCCTATGTGAAGCAAATATTTGACTGGTCCAAAAACATAGGAACGATCGTATGCCACTCATTTCTTTTCCTTCCCTCATCAAACTGCACCTTAGTTATTCTAATTTGGCATGTTGTTGGTGGTGCACTTTTTTTTTGTCCGGATAAACAAAGGTATTAGTCAGTTATCCAAAATAGCAAGCTTTAGAATGATTTAAATTATCGTTTGTATAAACAATAAAAAGTTAAACCCTTCTTTTTTACAACTCAACAACGCTATTATTACAGTAAGAAGAAAAAACTTGTTTTTTATTTGTCTTTATTCACAAGATATTGGAATATTAATGTAAAGATGATTATCGTTTGTATAAACAATAAAAAGTTAAACCCTTCTTTTTTACAACTCAACAACGCTATTATTACAGTAAGAAGAAAAAAACTTGTTTTTTATTTGTCTTTATTCACAAGATATTGGAATATTAATGTAAAGATGTAGAAAAGATGGTCAATCTTGGAAAGAAAATAAGAAGAAGGTGAGGGGATGGAAGGGTTCATACCAGCAGCATCAAAATGGCGATAGCCAAGCTTGATTGCGTTTAAGATGGTGTTTCTGAGCTCTTCTTTCTCCAGGCGCCAGAGACCGAGACCGATGACCGGCATCTCGAAGCCATTGTTGAGAGTTATGGTGGACATGTTTTCTCACTCTCCAAACACAAACCGACTTCTGCAGTCTGTTTTTTTTCTCTCTCTCTCTTCTCTCTCGTGTATGAGTATTTTCAGTGTTCTGTATGCTTGTGAGTACTCAAACCTCGTGCCCCTTGTGACCTTATATAGCTGCATGGGCATGAAATAATTAAGGAAGCAGGCAAATTTAAATAAATAAAATGAAATAAAATAAAATAAAAAGAAACTTTATGTTGGAAAAGGTGATTGGGTCCACATGAATAATGAAATCAACAGTGATTTTTTTAAATTTTAGTCCGGATGTTATGGGTCTTAAAATCTTTCGGGCTGACGTTGCGGTATCTTATTGCTCGTTTGATAATATTTTCGTCTTTAAAAAAAAAAAAAATTGGAAAATTGAAAGCTATTTGGAATTATTTGTTTTTGGTTTTTGGTTTTCATTTTAGGTAATATTCCGTGCGCACATTCTCTCCCTCATCCATCCTCCTTCCCCTTTCCTCCAATCATCTATGCCACCCATTTCCTCCAATCGTTCTCTCTCTCTTTTGTCGTCTATGCATTTTCTCTCTATCTTTTATTTATTAAAAAAATAAACCTAAAAACAAGGAATGAAAGTGTAATCAATCAGGTTGTAACAGTCTAGTCTAGGTTGGCGTGTTGAGTTCCACATCGGTAAACCAATTCAGGCTTCAGAAGTAGTTGCAGAGAGCCTCAATGACTAGTTTCTTTTAGGATATAGCGACAAGGTGGCTTGCGGCTCCTGGGTCGTGACACAAGTCTTTTGTAAAAAAATTAATGAGAAACAAATGTAATTCTGCAATACCCAATGAGATAAGGTAAGCAAATTATGAACGGGAGGAATCAAACCTAGACCTTAGTCACCTAACAAGACCCTAATAATGAATTATGATGTCTTAATCTCATTTTGTAAGTAAAGTTCTTCTACGAAGTATGGTTTTGTATCACTTATTGTATATATAATATCTTTAAGCAAAGTTCCTCTACGAAAAAGTTTTTTTTCTATCATGTACAATCATATTTATATTTCGTCACCAATTAGGTTAAGTAATGATGAGACATATGACACATAGTTGTATGAAACTAATATAAGAAGAAGTAAAAATCATTTCACTGCCACTCAGGTATCAATATCACAATTATACACGAACTCATCATATTGCGTTAGTGACGAGACGAGAGACATAATATAAATCGCATGATTGTTATGTAATCGACTTATAACCGATTATAACCAACTATAACCGACCATAGAAAATGAAAAATTCTCCATGCCGACCTCGTTATCAACACCACAATCATATATCGAACTGAACCATACTCTGCCACACACATATATGAGATAAAAGACAAGCGTTTTAAATATATACCATCCTCCTTCCTTTCCACCCACACAAATATCTATCTCTTAACCTATAAGAAGTCAAGTACACTCCAACCACGACTTGATAAATATTGTCCCTACCCTCTAGTCACTAGCCGGCTTGTGAACGAAAGGGGATTAGGGCATACAGGTGTCAGGTGAAAACCTAGCTCATCCTAGTTTTGTTGCTTCTTAGGCCTTCCTAAGCTGAGAGTTACCCTAGCCTAAAGCCAGTACAGAAATAAGGCTGCAAAAAGTCCCAAACGCTGGCTAAAATAAGCCCAAGTTTTGACAACCTTTTATCATTTATCCTCTGCACAATCTTTTTGTCCTCTTTTAACCAACCATTTCTAGGCCTTGGTGGCCTTGTATTGGCCTAGTGGTCCTTATTAATCACGCAATCTTTTTTTTTTTTTTTTTTTTTGGTCACAGAATCAGGGCATGTGAAATTGCATCTCTTTGTTTTTTCCGATCGACGGGTAGGCATGTGGCTTGGTTAATTGAAAATCGACAGGCATGTGCAACCCTAATTGGAACAGTGACATAAGTTACATGAAGTTATGGAGAAACTTTTTGAGAGAGAGAAATATGGAGAAACTGTTTACTGTTTTATTGGTTTGGAAAAACCGTTGCTATTACAAAAGCAACAATCTGAAGGTTTGGGGAAGCATTTTCTAATATCTGCTGGGTATATTCTATTTTCTATCAACAACATGCTTTGAGAGGTTTAGATTTATTCAAATAAGAGCCACAAGTTTCAAGAACTTCACCGTTATTCTCAGTGGTAGCGGGGGTGTCATGGTAATTTATTGCTTGGTACAATAACACAACTTAAATTCGACATAAAGTTAATTAACGAGTTATAGAGTTAATCGTTATTTAACACGAACACGAAGATAGCACAAACACTAAACGAATGAGATTATCGACAAGCATGAGAAACGAAACTCTGACAGATTAAAGAGAATGGTTAATTAATCTTTTCAACTTCTTAATAGGTGTTGTATGAGCCACTGCATAATTATAGGCTCAGTTTTGAGTTTACCATTCCAAGCCATGTACATG